CCGCGCGACAACTAGCGCTCCTTTCGCGCGACATTTTCCGTCGCTTTGTTCTTCGTCGCGGCGTAGACTTCCGACCACGTTTTTACCACGTCCTGTCAACGTTCCGGTCGTCCTCGTGAAAAGCCAGCTCGTTGAGGAGAAAGAGAGAGAGAGAGAGGGGGAGAGGGAAAAAGAGAAAGAGAGAGCTGCAATTTGATATATGACTTGTTGGGCCAGCTAAGTTTGCTCGTTGCAAAGATGTCGTTGACCCGCTACTATTACGCTAGATAGGATTAACTCATCCGTCCGTCGTCGCCACGGGCGGGTACACGTGTGTATATATAATATATATATATACCTGTACGTGTGTATGTGTGTATATCGCGTATATACACTCTGGCGTTACTGGAAGCGTGCACGGTTAGCGCGCTCGTTAGCGGTCTCTCCGAGTCCGAAACCCTGAAATTTCCATATTCGTCGTCGCGCACGAGGAAGCTCGGCGGCCGGACGGATTTTTAGCGCTTCATCTGTTTGTCTCCGACTCAACTGACCGGGCACCAGTTTCGTTCCGCACATGGCCGCACATGGCGGACGCAATCGAGTTACCCGATGTGTCGCGCAAATCACTTGAAATTACGGCTCCGCGGAAGTGAGCCACTCGTGCGCTATCAGCGAGAGCAGTTGGCTCGCGAAAAATGTTATACTTTATTTATTTTTTTATTTATTTATTCCGCGCGATCTGGACCAGCGATCTGGATTAGATTGAGAGTTTGAATTTTTTTTTTTTTTTTTTTTTTACAAACTCTTTGATAGTCCAATTAGCGGTGCGATATAGTCTGAGGGGACGTACTTTACTCTTATCGGTCATACCGCTACGTACCACTACGTCAATTTGATTTAGGCTAACTACTACATAATTTCATTATGTTCACGACGTCTTGGAATTACGTTCCGCAAGACTGCATCCTTGTATACCCCTGTGCAAGCACCGTAGCCACGATTGTTGCAGCTCCCTTAATGTTTGTGTCTCGTGCCGAGTATCAAATAACTTCGTTACACTCTCGCGGTATCGACACTCCGATACGTCAATTGCGCCGTCGCCGTCGGAATTATAGTCTGACTATAGCGCGAACCTTATCTACTAGCGCCTGTAATTGAGGAAAATTCGCCGAGCGTGTATGTACTTTTAATTCAGCGCCTATATACATTATCAAGTTCTACGCAGGCGATATCGCGAAATTGCGATTTTATCGGCGCCGATTACACGAGCGAGATAAGAGGCTCCTTATATGACGCACCCTTGTCATCGAAACCGCGAAATTAGGATTTGGACGGCCATGTCCGTATCTATTATCAATGGCGATACGATAACTAAGCGCTATGGTTAATGCTCTGTCGGATTGCGCGTTGCGATGCGGTGCGGAGAGAGTATCGAGTAATTTCATTAACCGCCGCCCGCGCTTACACGTCGACGCCATCCCGCGCGGATTGCGGCCCCTACGGCGTGAAGGGGGGACGACCGGTGATTCCCCGGTCGTCCTCTGTCGGTGTTGACTGGTGACGCGGCTAGTCACGATAGACCGCGACAATGGTATCGGGCCAACGTTGGGGCGTCTATCTCCCTGTCGCATCGCTAGTCCCGTCGTTAGTCTCTCGACGCGCGCGAGCGCGCGGACGTGGCCCTTAATCTGGATACTCCGTGTACGTGTATGTGTGTGTTGTACATGTGCCCCATAAACCCGAGAGAGGGAAAGGAGACAAACGACTCGAGTCCCCGACGTTTCATGCGCCTCGCACACACCGATCCGCACCGCAATCGTTTCGAATCCGCGCGCGGAAACGCCGAGATTTCACTCGAGCTTATAAACGTGAGAGCTCGTCGGCTCCGCGTGTAAACGGAAGCGCTCCTCGGGATCGCACAGCGTTGCACGGGTTTGCGTGTTGACCCGCGACGGCGGCAGGAAAACCGGGACGGACGTGTTGTTGGACGCGAAGACAGGGTGGGACGGGGGAGAGAGACCGGGGGTGGGAGCTGCGGCAAGACAGCAGGAGGGTGTAACGCGCGCGAATAGTGCGGTTCCCTGATTACTTCGGAGGGTTTCGCCGCCGGCGAATTTTACTACGGATACGCGCGATGCTCGGAGCTCAAGGGCTTCGTGCTTCCGAAATAAAGGCGAGGAAAAAGAAGGCACCCGCGGGGAGGGGGAGCCCGGAGAAAAGTGTGCCAGTGAGTAATTATTTCTTTTCCTTTTTTTTCTCTTTC